TGCCCAGCAATCATTGTCAGCCACTCAGAGAGGGATCAAAATTGGAGATGCTGGATACAGTGGGAAAAAAATGCAGAACAAAACTCAAAATCATAAAGAAAACCAGGTTTACTAGTCTCATACAGAGACCAGTATGGCGGTATGGCCCCTAGTCACCCTTTGGGCTGCAAACTGAACTCACTGAACTCACTTCTGTTTGGCTTAACAGTCAGCCAAACAGCAGCCAGGCCTACAAGGTGAACAACAGGCAGGTACAGTCCTCAGAACAAGCAACCATGGGAGAGCAGAAGGGCAGCGTTTGCACAGGGAGGTAGCTCAGAGGGCAGGAATGCACCGGAAAGAACACAGGAAAAGGCAACCAGAGGGAAGAAGTGGGAAGAGGTGGTACCCTGTGGGGAATTCCAGTCAGTGTCACAAAACAAAGTGTCTATGAAGTTGCTGTGAAAACATTTATCTAAATCACAATAAAAATTAAAAAAAAAAGATTTCTTGGATAATGTTTCAAAGAACAGAACAAAGAAAAAGGACCCAGATAGCACAGTAAGACAGAGCTTAGAAACAGTTCAGAGTAAAAAAAGGGCAACAGGAGAGGGGAGAAACGAGGGCCGTCCACACCGACAGGCAATCAGAGCCTCTCAGACCGCAGAGGTTTCACCAAAGAGAAAGGTGGAAAGAGGACTTCCAAGAGTGTCAAAGACGGCTAAGCTTCAAGGCCAACATCCAGAGCGGGCTGTGGGCTTCAAAAATCAACGAAGAGGCCGTGGTGTGTGCTCGCAAAGAGGGGCGCAGAGCTGAGGAGGGAGCGGTCACAGAGAGGAAGTCGGTGCGAAGCCTTCCCTAAAAACGTCCAACGGAGCAAAGACCAAAGACGAGCGGAGAAAAAGTCCCTGGGAATAAGGCAGGGCTAGGGCAGAAATCGGAAGGAAGGTTGGGCAATCTACTTCTGTAGTGATAGTGCCTGGGAAACCCAGGGAGGGGTCACTGGGAGTCGGGTGCCACTCGACGGGACACAACAACAGCAAAGGCCTGAAATAGCAGGGGAGATGGCAACAGGACCCCAAGCAAGAAATAATTGTCTATTTTTGATTAACTAACCCAGACTTTCTTGAATGGGGGGCAAGGGCTATAGCAGGGTTTATGGATTTTCATACGTTATAAAATTATAAAGCATCTTTATAAATTATGAATGATAATGTTCCTTACTCCTTGCAATTGCCCAGGCTAGCGTACATTATATAAGGATAGCAAGGGTCTTGGTGTTGGGTTCTGAGTACCAGACCCCATTATTAGAGAAATCAGGCCAACGAAGCGGCTGCTGTGGAAATACCACTTAGACAGCTCTCTTCAATACAAGGAGTGAGGAACCTTTCTTGTGTTTGTAGACTGCAGCCCAAGGCCCCCAGCCCAAGAAATGTTTCCCCTGGTTCAGGCTCAAGGACAGCACAGAAATAAACCCAGGAAAAGGATAAAGAGCAGGGGCAAAGGAGAGGCGCCCTGGGCCGTGCGCTGCTCAGACCAAGTGAGACCCCAGCCCCAGCCCCCAGTGAACCGGGTGCGGGAAGCGGCACCAACTCAGCACAGAGAGGCCGCCTGGCACCAGCAGACCCGTCTCCACGGCCTCACTCAGCACAGAGAGGCCGCCTGGCACCAGCAGACCCGTCTCCACGGCCTCACTCTGCGCTGGAAGCATACGGAACCAGATTTTAAAACTTACATTTCATCGTAAAATTCTTAACTCAACAAAACCATTTCTATCATTTCATAGATTTGTTATGCAATTTTAAACGACTATAAACATGAGCAGATCCGAACCTAATTTTGTGACCACTAAGTGGTAAGCGGTAACCCCACTTTTGAGCCGGTGGCCCACTCTTCCTCCTGCTCAAACAGTCCTCTACTCGGGGACCAAACCGAACTCCTCACTCCGGCATTCAGTGCCTTTAATGACGTGGCGACCCCGGCTCCTCCCCGCAAACCCACCTGCGCCCCGCACCCAGGCCCGAGTCCGGCCCGCGCCCCCCAGACGCGGGACTCTCCGCTGCCCCAGGCCTAAGGTGGGGCTCCCCGGCCCAGTGCCCGGAGCGCCCCTGCGCAGCCTCCAGCCTGCGCCGCACCGGGCAGCCAGTCCACGGACTCAGCGTCTGTCCTGTTGCGGACCGGCCGAGAACGCAGGCCGGGGGTGGCGCGACCTGCTCGCCCGCCGCCCCCTCGGAGGGTCCCCCCACATCTCCCGCGTCGCCGCGGCCGGGCCCTCCTATCCGGCCGCGCGGCGTCGGGGGCCTGCGGTGACTCACCGGGGGGCCGGCCGGCCAGGGGCCGGAATGCGCTCACTTCCTCGCCCCGCGCACCTGCCCGGCGCGCCTGGCGCGCAGCCCGGCCGGGCCTCCGGCGGATGTTTGCCTTGTCCCCGCGCAGGCGGCGCGCGCCAACCGCCCCCTCCGGGGCCCGCGCACCAACCGCTGCGCCCCCCACACCCAGCGCCCCAAACGGTCCCTCTGCCAGGAGTCGGAGGTTGGGCGCTGACCACTGACACCCCCTCAAAACACCCGCCCCCCCTTCCCTAGAAAAACACCCTCCACACAGACCCTGGCGCGCACACACCCTGCCCAGCTCCAGGCCTGGAGCCGGTTCACAGAAGACTGCCTCACTGCTCCCCAGCTTCTAGGAGGGCTTCTGGCCCAGCCTCAGCCGCTCAGTGCACAGCTCCTCACCCACCCCCCACCACCACCACCACCACCACCACCACCACGCCGGCCTAGTCCTCATTACAGGTGGCTAACCTTCACCTCGGGAGCTCTGGTAGCATAGTGGCTAAGACACTTGACTGCTCACCAGAAGGCCGGCGGTTCAAACCCACCAGCCACTCCTCGGAAGGAAGATGGGGCAATCTACTTCAGTAGTGATACTGCCTCGGAAACCCAAGGAGGGCTCACTATGAGTTGGGTCTGACTCGACGGCACACAACCTTCACCTCGGTCCTCATCCTCAGCCCCACTGGGACCCTTTCCTCCCCCCGCCCATCCCACCATGGCAATAGCTTCCTCCTCTCATCCTCCCCCGGGGTCCGCCCCAGGCTGCAGGCCCCAGCACTCCAGGGGGTCAGCTGAACCCCTCCCTCAGAAAGGCAGCAGCAAAGGGACTACTGCCCACTAAGACTCCCAGGGCCCTCCAAGGGAGGCCCCGGCTGCACACAACCCCCCACCAGCCTGCATTAGGGCACCCTGCTGCTACGAGGGGAGGGGGGTTTCTTCTTGGCACTCAAAGAGCTTCACACCCCTCTGGGTGAATGTGAGCTACATCCTGAATATCCATCACCTAAGCTGTCTCCTGGAGAGGAAACCAGGAAGCTTGAGGAAGGCTGAATGGTGAAGACGCTGAGGCAAAGTGGTCCCTGAAAAAGCCTGAAGGAGCTATACCTGACCCTCTGGTGACAGGGTCAAGGGAGCTGAAGCCTTACAAGAAAACCAGCAGTAAATGCAACTCACTCTTACCCTGCGGGTGAGAGGGGAAACGCTGGGACGAGATCCATGAAGGGTAGAGAAATCAAAGAACCAAAAATTCAGTGCAAGGGCCTCGTACCAAAGAGTGGACAGAGAGCAGCACTCAAGGGTTCCGAGTGAGTGGGGATGGAAGGAGGCGGCACCTGGAGGGACCCGACTTTGGGACCTTCCTGGTACCGATGAACGTGCTGACCCAGGAAGACCTTCAGCAAGACCTGAAGCCAACATCACCGCTTCTCTAAGCAGACACTCGGAACTCAGCGGTACAAGGACCCACACCACAGTGCTCCCGGGGGTGCCTGCTTCTGAAGGAGGTGGTAGGGGCCACACTGAGCAGGAGTGGGACGGCCGGAGCCAACGCCAGGAGCTCACAGCCTCTGATAGCGGCCTTCATGAGCAGAGCTGCTCAATGGCGTTCAAAGAACGTCCCCAAGCTTAAGCACCAATCACAGTGGCCTTCCTGAGGCCCGAGGGCCAGAGACAGTGCTCCCAACAGTCCACGCGTGAGCTCACGCGATCCTCCACCACCCCCACCTTCACCTTTACAGATGAGGAACCTGGTTCAGAGGTGAGGTAACCTGCCCAAGGTCGCAGAGCTGGTCAGTGGCGTCTGGGTCGGAAACCAAGCTGTTCCGACTCCACGGCCTATGCTCATCCTCACCCACCCCAAGGTCCTTCAGAACCTTAAGAAAACTCCAAAGAGGGTGTCGGGGGACAAATGCCTAAAACCTCATTCCACCCTGCGGAGGATGGAAAGGCAGTGGCCCCGGCTCCGTGAGAGGGAAGGAGGTACCGCTCCCAGGGGTGCTTCTGCGTCTGCTCTCTGACGGTGACAACGGTGGACAGTTCAACTCTGGGATGCCTGCCCATCTCAGAGGGGCAGCCGTCTCTAGGATTCTTCACGGAGACCCCGCCCCAGGGCCTGGCGGGGACACAGTCCCCACGCCCAGGTGCCTGTTCCCTCTCCTGCAGCCTCTGGCCGTCGCACCCCACTTCAGCTCCTCGGTTTGGCTGGGGCACAGGATTAGCTATCCCCAGGAAATGCCTCCTCCGGTCCAGGCAAGGATCCCAGCGTACACACCCCTGGAGTTTGGGGGTGGAGCGGGTAGTGGAATGCTGCCTCCTGTCCAGGCCAGGCAAGAAATCTGGGGACCACCTGGGGGCCCTCACCCCTCCCAGCTCCTTGCTGGGGAAGTGCCCAGTCCTGCGCCCCTTCCATGGCCACCTCCCCCCCCGCAGCTCGGCTGGGCCATGAATCAGAGCTCACAGCTTGTTAAAGCTGGACCTGGTGTTTGCATGCCCTCACCTCAGGAAACAGAGTTACAGCTTTTCCAGCTCAGCTCAGCAGGGGGCCAGGGTCCTCACTTTATAAACACCCCAAGCCTGTGAGAGCAGAGGGCACTGGGGTGGTGTGAGACAGGAGCCCAAGGGAGAAAGAGAGAAACGCAAGGAAGGGAAGAAGGAAGAGCCACGAAGGGTCCCAAAGGGCTGTGCTGCAGGATGGCCCTAAGGACACTCTGGGCTGGACAGGCCAAGGGGCCCCTGGGGGCCCAGGGCATCATCTGCCTGGTGATCTCTCTTCTCCTCCAGCACCCAGGAGTCCACAGCAAGTGCTACTTCCAAGCTCAAGGTAAAAGTGGGGGGCAAGGAGCAGAGGGAGTCAGGGTGAACTTAGTGACGATCCCGTGTCGGAACGTCACACTCCTCCAGCCCTGCAGCAGAGAAGGGAAACTAAACATGGGGGGGTACCGACTAGCTCCCATCCCAGCTGAGGAATCGTCTGCCTCGGCCACTCCCACGCACACTAACTTCCCCATCCCTCCCCAGCCCCCTGTCACTATGAGGGCAAGCATTTCACCCTGGGCGAGTCGTGGCTCCGTAAGGACTGTTTCCACTGCACCTGTCTGCATCCTGTCGGCGTGGGCTGCTGTGACACGTGAGTGGACAAGAATGGCCAGGGACACGAGTGACCAGGGTGGCCAGGGGAGTCGCTAGACTGCTGTGTGTGAGCAGGGGCAGAGCAGCAGTGAGACAGGCCAGACCTGAAGGTACCAACATGCATGTGGATGATAGGGCCTCAGGCTACAGGGGAGGGAGAGCAGGGTGCATCTGGAGGGAAGCCAGGCCTGCCACGAGGTGACGAGGGCTGTGTATGCTGGACGAGAGCTCACTGAGGGGACCAAGGGAGCACTGAAGGAAGATACAGGGGACAAGGTGGAGAGGGTGTGGGCGGCAGGGAGGGGTCCTCCACTCTGCTGACTCCTTCCCCGTCCCCCGGTTCTGTAGGTCCCAGCATCCCATCGACTTCCCTGCTGGGTGTGAGGTCCGTCAGGAGGCAGGCACCTGCCGGTTCTCCCTGGTGCAAAAATCTGACCCACGGCTGCCCTGCAAAGGGGCAGGGCCCAACCTGGAGTGGGGCTCAGCTAACACCCCTGATCCTGGGGCTCCCGCGCCCCACTCCCGCTAAACTCAACTCATCACCCCTCTGCTGCCTGCCCACTGCTGCTGCCACTTCCAGGGAAACCACTAGCAGGTGCTGGTTTATTCTGAAAAAATAAATTAATGCCACAGCTCACAGCCTGCCTCTCACTGTCCAGGCCCCAGGGCCCCGGGTGGGAAAGGCATGTCCTACTGGCGTCCAGGAGCCGGCTTCTCAGAACTCTGAAGACACGTGGGCAGCTGGGCCAGTTTCAGATGGTTATGGTGCTGGTGCTGGGGCCGGGGGCAGCATATGAGGCCAGGGTGGGACTCGTGGGCAGCACCTTGATAGGGAGGTCCCAGCTGAAGGTGTCCACGGGGACTTGCTCAGGCCCCGTCCAGGTGACAGCCTCAGGCTGTTCCAGGGGGGGCAGCAGCCCCAAACCTGGTTCTCGGGACGTGACAAACTCAAAATGCAATCGCCACTTCAGGGACACTGGGAGAAAAAATAAAATGACAGAGGTGGAGACTTTAGACGCCAGTGGGAGTAAAAACCAATGACACGATGCGGTTACTGAGCGAGAACCCCTGTTCAGGAAGAGGGAGGGTTACAGGGCAAGGAGCTGGGATCAAGGGTCTTTCGGAAGAAACCTTGTACGCCAGCCAGAGAAGTGAGTTAAGCCAAGACAAGGCAGCTTGAAGTCTGGCGAATCAGAGATCAGTGTGCCACAGGGCTCCAAGAGGTAGGGGTAGGAAAGGGGAGCTGCAGATCTGTGAAGAGTTTAGGGGTCAGGGTGTCTAGGAAAGGAGTTCTGGTGGCGCAGTGGTTAAAGTATCCAGCTGCTAACCAAAAGGTTGGTGGTTTGGACCCACCAGCCCCTCCACAGGAGAAAGATGAGGCCGTGGACATCTGTAAAGATTTACAGCCTTAGAAACCCCATGGGGCAGTTCTACTCTGTCACGATAACTAAGAAGAGACTCCGTGGCAGGGAGTTTCACGTTCTGGTGTCTAAGAAACGAGAGTACAGGTTGAAGGAAGGTTTCAGAAAGAGGTCAGATGTGCACACCTGGGAGTGTGCTAGGAATCATGACCCCAGATACTCTCCCTAAGTCCACCATTTGAGGCTCCCTCCTGCCTCCCATCCCTATAATGATCACATCTCACCAACTGCTGTGAAGAAGCCTGGGGTGGAGCTGAGAGGGATGGGGAGGGAGAAGCTGGTTCTGGTCGTGTGCAGGCAGGACTCCTGGTGCCGGGCGTGAGTCACGTGGGACACAGAAGGGACGCCCCCTGCCCCGCGACGGCGTTGGTACTCGGGCTGTACCCGCTCCTCAGTCTGTAAGCTTACTGAAAACTGGGAACAAGGGGAGAGGTACAGGCATGTGGATGTGTGGCCTGTAGGTCAGAGGGCAGCCCGACCTACCAAATGGACCCTAGGTACCCCACTGTCCACTTCCATACCACCCCTGTTCATGTGGGCCCGTCTCCACCTTCCACCCTAGCCCTCCAGGTCTAGTGTCCCGGAAGCCCCTCTCACCTGCAAGCAAGCTACAGTTCCTTCCCCTAAATTTAAAGTCCCCACCACGTCCTCGCCAAGTCTGTACACAGATTTGAAGATGCCAAACGTCCCAACCTTCCCTCGACCATCACTGATGTTATACAGATCTGGGGAAGACAGGAGCTGGTAAGCCTGCAGCCCACACAGGCAAATGCCCAGGACTGGAACACAGGGGCCAAAAGGGGGGCTTTCCTTCATAACGTGGTGAGAGATATCTGGGGATCGTCACTGATACACATCGTGGCTAGAAGGATCTGTCTCTGAGACAGGAACACTCCCAGCGGAGGGGTGAGACGGGACAGCTGGGGAAGGATTCTCACGGAGGCTGCGGTAAGATGTGGCAGCCATGAGGTGCTCGCCAGCCAGCTCAGCTAGCCAGGAACCCTTCTTTCCACCTTCATCCTCCTCCAGGAAGGGACTGGATGGGGCGACCACCTCATCCTGGGGAAAGCGTACATCCTGAAGACCTAGAGCAAGCACGAGTTGAGAGAATGCTTGGAGGGAGCAGAAGTGAGCGTGAAGGTCAGGGTCAGGCTGCAACCTGCCAGGAAGGAGAGGAGGGAGGCATGCAGGTCAACCTGGTCCCCAACACACCACCTCCCCCAGCCCCCGCACCGAGGCCAACAAACTCCCCTCCAGACCTCCCAAGCCACCTAAGACCAGCTCCGGCGAGGCTCTTCCCTAGCCCTCCCGGCCACGACCCCTTGCTCACCAGTCAGCACCAGAACCCGCAAAGGGACCCTGAGTAGGGTGATGGGGGAGTTGACACGCTGGCAGCCGATGGTCAGTTTGTAGACGTACTTGACTGACTGACCCCGAAAGGAGGGGGGTCCCTCTCTGGGCAGCACTTCGCTGTAGGCGTCTAGTTGGGAAGCAGTAGTCAGGGGGGGCCAGGGGGAGCTTCCCTCCAGGACACTTTGAAGGCGAGGGAGGGGGCCACTCACAGGATTTGGACTCTCCAGGCTCTAGCCTCAAGTCACAGAACAGGATTTTCGGTGGGGTAGAAAGGATACACTGCCCCCTCTCTCCTAAAAAACAAGACAGAAACGTGGCAACCCTGTTGTCCGGTCCCGGGCAAGGCCAGCACAGTGAGCGGGGGCCACGAGGGGCTGCTAACAGCCTGAGCCAAGTGACCCTTCTTTTTCTGGTGCGACATAGAAACACAGCTGTAGACCCCAAAAAAGGTCGTTTCATTCCCCTGCAACCCCAGCGTGAGCGGGACTGTGACAAGAAACAGGATCAATTCAACACTTTCACCTAGACAACACTGGCCCCTCCAGAGGTAAACACCCATCTCTAACCTCGGTGAGGGAGAAAGACAGTCTGGCTCTCCGGCTGGACCTCCGGCTGACTGGAGTCAGGGGGCGGCAGCGCTACCCGGCTCTCGCTGGCATGGAACTGGCAGTGGATCTGGGCGCTGGCCCAGGCCAGAGCCTCACTGGGAGGAGAGAACCAGAAGGCATCAGACCTCACAATGTCCGGGGACCCCCTACTGCACTGTCAGGGCACTGGGGGGCGAGGAGGCAGTCCTAGCGATCAAGGACCCCCACCCCCAAGAGAAACCATTCAACAAAGAGAAGCACCCAGTGGGGACGGGCTGGGGAGGGGAGGAGGACTAGGTCGTCGCCTCTTCTGTTGGGCAGCGGGTCCCCACAATGACAGCACAGTGCTGGAAGGGGCCGACAGGCGTCGCCACAAGGCAACGTGAGCTCCGGCCTGGCGCCCTCCTGGAAGGGCTGCCTTCTTCCTCGGGTACCTGGATGCGGACGTGGCCGTGGCGGGCAGCGGGTTGGTGACGGTCACCATACATTCCAGCGCCTCTCCCGCCAGAAACACAGGACCGCGGCTCAGCTCTGCCACCACTTCAATCATGGCAGCTGCGGGTCAGAGCTAGAGGGAAACCGGGGGGTCGGGGCTCAGCGCCACGGCAGGGACGGGTGCGGGTGAGGCCTGCGGAGGTCCGCACCCCGGTGCCGGAGGGAAGCCGGCAAGTGGACCGGCGGAACGGAAGGCTGCTGACAGCGCGAGGGGGAAGGGGCCGCTCCGCGTCCTCGAGCCCCGGCCCTGTCGGCGCCGGGTCACCCCATTCCCGCCGGAAGCTCCCGGCCGCCCTCCGCCCCTCCCCCACAGGCTCCACGTCCCCGGCCCTTCCTTCGCGCCCCTACGCCAAGCACCTCGCACGATACAAGCTGGGGGTCCCGGTACCCCGAGGCCCTCACCTGCCCGCCCGCCAGGACCGCGCCAGGCGCGCTACGGCAACCGCGGCGTCGGCGGCGCGGGAAAGGCGGGACTTCCCTTCGGCGTCCCTCGGAGCCCCTTCCGGCCGGAAGCGCCCGGCTGACCCGACCGGAAGGGGCTCGCGTGGTCCGGGCGCCTCGGGTCACCTTCCCACGGGCCGGAACCTGGGCGCCGAGGCTGCCCCGGACGCCGGCCGGCGGG